CGAAATCGCCATTCAACCGCTAGCCGCATGCTGCGAACGTGGGAAGCCATCCCCGGTATCTCCCCGTGGGTTTTAAGCATAATAAAGAATGGCTATCGATTACAGTTTCGCCGCCGCCGCCCGCCACGCTCGCGCGTGCGGCTCGAATCCACTGTCAGCCCGGCTGCTATGAACACGCTTCGCTTAGAAATTGCCAAGCTACTGCAGAAGGGCGCTATAGAGAGAGTACCGCCATCTATGACCGAGTCGGGGTTTTACGGACGTTATTTTCTGGTTCCCAAGAAAGACGGCGGCCTCAGGCCGATCTTAGATCTCAGGGCTTTGAACAAAGCGCTCATGAAGAGACCGTTCAAAATGCTCACAGTCAAGAAACTCCTCGCGCACGTCCGCCAGGGGGACTGGTTCATCTCTCTAGACCTGAAAGACGCCTATTTTCAGATCCAGATAAACCCTCATCACAGGCCATTCCTACGTTTCGCCTTCGAGGGTCAAGTTTACCAGTATGCCGTTCTCCTGTTCGGCTTATCCTTAGCACCCCATACGTTCACGAAGTGCATGGATACAGCGCTCGCTCCCCTGCGAAGTCAGGGGCTGCGCATTCTGAATTATCTGGACGACTGGCTGATTCTAGCAGATTCCCAGACGGAGCTTCTGTCGCACCGCACAGTTCTCCTCAACCATCTGGAAGCGCTGGGACTCTCTGTCAACTGGACAAAGAGCTCTCTCCAACCCAGTCAAACTATTTCATTCCTTGGAATAGATTTGAACTCTGTCACAATGACGGCTCGCTTATCCACACAGCGCGCGCGCCGTGTTCAGCGCCTAGCCGCCTCTTTTCAGATGGGTACCCACACATCCCTGAAATCTTTTCAGAGGATGCTGGGTTACATGGCTTCAGCCTCCGCTGTGCTACAGCTGGGTCTTCTGCACATGCGCCCTCTTCAACTCTGGTTAAAGAGCCGCGTATCCCACCGCGAGTGGACGACGGGCCGCCAGATGATCAAGATTACTCAGACATGTATCACTGCACTGCAGCCATGGTCAGTAACCGAGTGGTTTCAGAGGGGCGTTACCATGGGGACTTTTTCTCGCCGGAAAGTCATCTCGACAGACGCATCCAAATCGGGTTGGGGTGCGGTTTGCGAGGGCTCACCGGCCGCCGGCCAGTGGTCGAGCCACGAGAGTTCCCTACACATAAACTGTCTGGAAATGATCGCGGTCGAGAACGCGCTGCTGTTTTTCCTCCCGCGCATACATGGTCACCACGTCCTGATTCGCTCCGACAATATGGCCGTGGTATTATACATCAACCGTCAGGGCGGCGTCAGATCCAAGAATCTCTTTCATCTGACACGCCGCATCCTATTGTGGTCCCAGAGTCACCTGCTCTCACTCAGAGCGACGCACGTACCGGGCCATCTGAACGACGGTCCAGACATGCTGTCCAGGAACCTGGTCTCCCCCGGAGAATGGTCCCTGCACACTCAAACAGTCCAAACGCTGTGGCGCCTATTCGGCAGAGCGGAGATAGATCTTTTTGCGTCAGAAGAGAACGCTCACTGCCCAATATTCTTCTCAAAGAGCGAAGACGCGCTAGCCCAGGATTGGCCCCGCCGCCCGCTCTATGCTTTTCCCCCGATTTCTCTGCTGCCGCAGGTCATTCAGAGAATCAGGGACTCACGCCACTCGGTGCTCCTCATAGCCCCGCGCTGGGAGAATCAGATTTGGTTCCCGGAGCTTACGCGGCTGTCACAGACAGCCCCGTGGCCCATTCCAAT